ATTGGCATCCTCCTCCACCCGATTGGATCAGAGTTAATATAGATGTTTCATTATTAACTTCTTACAAACTTGGGATTGGAGGCATTTTTTGAGACTACAAGGGTAGATTTCTATTGGCAGTTGATCATGCTTGTATTCATTGGGATATATCAAGATTGGAGCTTCTATCTATTCAATCTATTAATGATGTTTTTAAAGATTGGATGTTTGGTTATAAGGGCTTAATTATTGAAGGTGACAATAAAAAAATTATCAAATTTCTTCAGATTGTTATTAGAAGAGGCGAACAGGAATTGGGGGATCTCTCTTTTATCAAAGATTTCAATTATGTTATCTTTAATTGTATAGATAGAAAATGTAATAAGTTAGCAGATCTTTGTGCTAATAATGCTATCTTTAGTTCTTTTATTTGGGAAGACATAGTTATGAATAAGGTTCCTCCTTTTTTATTAACTTGTTGAAGGAGGAACCAAATGCTATTAGCTTGTAGTTTATTTTGCTTTTTTAGTTATTAATGCAGCTATTTGCTTCTTTTAAAAAAAAATAATAATGTGTTGCTTGTGGTTGATCTGTGACCTCCTTCCTAAAGTACTAATTTGCACAAAATGTTATGCCTAACTTAACATATATAATATACTCTATTTTTTTCAAATGTAATTATTCTAAAAATTAAAGGAATTCTTTATAAGTAAAATCTAATGCTTGATAATTGTCTATGTCATGTGAACTATCATCAGCGATTAAGCACAAATTGGTGAGTTCTTTTACTTCTGCCTAGATGACATAAAGTTTGAGTTCACCTAAAACGCTCTTTAAGGCTTTCTTTTATTTTTTCTTATTATTAGCTCTTTCCTTAGCCTTTTCAATTGATAATTAAGTATTTATATTTGGGTAGTCTGACTTTATGTGACATGGCTTTTTGCATTAAAAATAATTATGGTCGATGGTATATCATTCAACTTTTCATCTTTTCTCAAGTTGTCGAGGTTCCTCATTTACTTCTTCCTTAGAAAGATTTTAAATTGTCTAGTCATGAAGGATATATCATCCTTTCTACCTCTTTTAGAGTTATTACTTAATAAATCATCTGCCTTTGAAGCAATTGCCTTCTTCTTTCTTTTTTCTTTGTTATTTATATCTATTGTTAATATATTGCTCATATTTAATCAACGAACCAAGAATATTATCAATAAAATAAGCATTTAAAGCCTTCAATTCTAAGATTATCGTCTTCATGGTATACCAAGATTAAGGCATGATGCTTATAAAATCTTATTGACCTTTTAAGCATTACTAATTTCTTTACCCAATGCATACAAACAAGTATTGATTTTTGTAAATTATGTATACATGTCCATTATAAATTCATTAGGTTACTTAAAAAGCTCATAATTATGAAGTAAAACATTTAATTGTGATTCCTTAACTTCATTGATTCCCTTATAAGTAGTACATAGTTTGTCCCAAATCTCCTTTCTTGTGGTGCAAGTATAACTCTTATATTATTCTTTAAATTATGTGCTCAAAAGAAATAATTCAAGCTTTAGCATTTATCAATGCATGTTCCCCATCCTCTATTCTCCTTTCAATAAAAGATATTTTAATTTTTATGTCATTCACTTTTTATGAGGTGGTGAATATCAAGTTTGAATTAAATGCTACTTGCAAAAATCTATGGATTGAATGAACATAGACATGGGAACAAATCTTCTAAAACTTAAAAAGGATATTATCAAGAAGTGGTGGAAGGGACATCAAATACTCTTTCAATGTATTTTGATTCTCAAACTATGTCATACAAGAATCTATTCTGATATTACAACCAAGTAAATGAGAACCCCCCTCTTCTACCAAATGTAAGTGACTAGGCACAACCATGAGGGGGTGAATTAGCATATCAAAAATGTTTTTTTCCAACGTAGTAAAAATAAATTGTAGTAACAATAAACTAATTGGTAAAATAAAATTTTAAATTTTAAAGTTTTATTTCAAAATGATTTGAGAGCAATATAAGTCTTAAAAAGTATTTTATGATAATAGCTTTAATTTTTTTTAAAAAAAATTAAAATAATATATAAACACAACAGTTCAAAGCAGCAAACTATAAATGCAAAAAATAAGTAAACAAAAAGGAAAAAAAAAGCGCAAATTGAATTTTTATAGAGATTAGATCAACCTGATCTATATCCACTCTCCGGAGTCCTCTCCCCATTATTCCACTATCCACACCTTATGCTACTAGCAAGGCATAGAACCCTTTCTCCTTCATAGGAATTAGAGAAAACCCTTATACACCACTTCTTTCTTCTGATAAGCCTCCCTCCTTTTGTAGCCAACATGAAATAGATGCCTCACGACTAGCCTCCCAGCTAGCTTAAAAGTTTTCTTATAAAACTTGTGAACTCTTTTACCCAAGAGCACTCAGTCTATCTAAATTGAAGAAATAAGGACATGCTAGGAAGAACAATCTTTGTGGAACTCGATATCATGAACACCCTTTTAAGAGATCCCTCACAATCACTCCTATCTCTCTCACCTTCTCTCCCTCACACAATAGAGTAAGTCTCTCCAAAAGTTCTCTCTCAACTCTCTTGATCTCCCACAAAAAAAATGCTTAAGATGTCCAAGAACTTGTGTTAAAAGCGTATTTACATTAAGCGCTTAATCAAACCCTAAAAATCCTGATATGATTAATTTTACGAGTATATTGTTCAATTCAATCAATAAATTGCACATTACGATTTGAACAAACTTGCCGACTTGCGAAACAAGATTATCCTATATAAATAAAGTTTATCCGATCAAGCTCTTTGTTTGTTCGGATTGCATGATAAGGATAGTACAATACAATCTTAAAAAAAATGGCAACTTAGAGCATTGGATCAGCCTATCCAAATAGAGTTTGGCCATACATGTTCTTTGTTTGTTCGGATTGTACAATTGAGAACGTATAATACAAAATCAACTCTAATTCGTCCTCTTAATTTCAAGTTCCAAAATAGGTAATTCATGTTACAAGGTTTTAAGTTTTGTTTCGTATGAAGTGCAATACAAATAGTTCAAAATTTGAATTAGCCTATTTCTTAAACTTTTAGGATTTTAATGGTTTGAATTTGAATAGTTGATCATTTGATCTGATATGTGTACTATGTACTATATTATTCATTATATTAATTTCAATTCTAATTTTTAGTTAATTAATCTAATTTAATTTTTAGAATTTATAAAATTTTTATGTATATCATATAGTACGAAGTAAATCATACAATAGGATTAAGAAATAAAATAAATTTTTTTGTTTAACTCTATTTTATTTTATATTATTCCTGTCGTGTGTGATTGTTCAACCCACTTCATGCCTGACAAATAGAAATACTAAAGAGAAAAATTAAAACCGTTTACAAGTTAACACACACTTTATTTCTTAGTCTTCTTGGTGATATGAATTTTATTCATGTTCAATTCTTATAGCTTTAGCAATTCCTAACTTGAATCTATCACATATGTGCTTCTTGCAATATTAGATAAAAAGCAACTTTCCTGCACACATAACTTGATTATTGATTAGTTTAACTAATAATATTTGTAATCATAAAAACCCTAGTGTACACTAAGCTCATGGGATTCAACATCATATTTCAAGCACACCATTTAATAAGGGTGTCAATAAATAACCCGACAGGCTAACTCAACTTGGGCCTGACCCAAAAAATTCTTGGTTAAGGTTAACCCATTTAATGGATAGGTTGTTTATGTCCAAAATTCTAACACATTTAATTGATGGGTATGAATTAGATTTACCCATGAACATGATTTTGACCCAAAAATGACGTATTCAATTTTTTCCTTATATTATTCTACTTGTTATGCTCTTCTTATTTTTTGATCAATAAATTTAAAATATATAGTTATTAAATTATTAAAAAAATTGATCAAAATAAATTATTGAGTCAAGCTAAGATTATCAGGATTAAAAATGGCTAGGCTTCAAGTACACTTTTTTTAATCCATTTATTATATATGTTGAGTACTAACGATCGATTTAAACACCCTTAACATCCACCATCAAATAAGATTTTGTTTGGGACGTTTTTTTTTTCTGCTTCTTAAAGCAATTTTTTAATACCAAAATTAAATTTTTTGTACTAAAAATCAACTTTAAAAGCAATAAAAAAAACCATCCAAACAAAATCTTAATGCCTTCTCTCATTCCGAAAAATATTAAAAGTACCTTTAATTTTCGTTTAAATTATGAAGTTACTTCGTTTGGACAAAACCACGGGACTCTTTCCATCCCAAAATTTTCATGTGAAAAATTCATAATGCCCCCGTTTGCATTATTACTTTTGATTACATGGGTGCGTAAATGATCAATAAGTTCATTGTTAATCAATGTTAAAACCCCCCACTCTAGTTGTTGGATCTCCCACACGCAATACTAAAAATATTGGATAGCTAGCAGACAAGAAAGCATGCTATACACCGATAATACAGCACAATCACATGCATTACAATATTTCTGAATTTGTTGCATTCTAAATTTTAAAAGAAGGGTCCACCGACTCCATCTATGTTCAAAGTTTAGCAATTTAGGTTTCATTTGGGATAATTTTTTTACTGCTGCTTAAAACAATTTTTTAGTAAAAAAAATTTAAATTTTATGCTAAAAAGTTGTTTTAAGAAACAATAAAAAAAACCGTACCAAACGGGACCTTAGATTTGACTCATGCGCATTTCGTGTTGGGCTAAAGCATTTTTCAAATATCAAAACCAACAAGAAAAAGCAAGTAAAAGCAAACTTTGAAATAATCTGAGCTGCAAAACTAGAAAACAAGGTCTATATGAGAAAAGCCACGGAATCCATTCTGATGATTAGTACAGCAATTTGCATGAATGAAATGTTAAAAGTAAAAAACAAAATAAAAAAGCCTAAACTCACACGTCACAAAAAAAAAAAAATAAATAAACATTGTGTAATGCTTTTGAATAACCTAAAAAAAAAAAAAAAACAACTTCGATTTGCACAGTTAAAATCCCATAAATCCACAGGCCTGGGCAATGACTCAACGGTCTTAAGATCCAACATAATCTGGAGTTAGAATATTGCTGTTACAGGAACATAAGCAAAGCAGCTACGAACATCAAGGCAAGAATCATTCCGCTTCGACTTGCCAGTGTAGATGATGAATTTAAGCCCTGACCATGAGGTGACTGCTGTCTGAATTTTCTCAAGAACAAATTGAAATGATAAATCAGAAATTTACCACAAAAAGAATGACAATGTAACATGAATTATATATAGATGTACATACTTTTGCATGTCCTTGAGGAGTCCGCAGTATAGAGCATTGTCTGGAACTGGCTGCTCAGTTTTGTTAGTGCTTTCAGGGTTTACAACACTGATGTATGTCTCCTGCCCAAGATACCATGAATCAAGATCTTCTGAGCGCAAATTCCAGATTCCAACATTATCCAATGAAACCATGACAGCTGTCCAAGCTCCAGGGTAAACCTATAATAATCACATAAAATTTTCAATGACGGGATTTAGCATATTTGTAATAAATTTCAAATATTTGAGTTAGCAAAACTTAAAGGTGGTCTTCATTATAAAGTCCATGTTTGCATGCCGAGAAAAATTGATTTTATACTAGATGATTTCTGCAGGTTTCTAACTTCAATTGTACTAAATATCCCCATCTATTTCACCATCACTCTTGAACAATAGACCCAAAATATCTAAAACACACATTCTTATTAATATGACTTGATCATCTAAAGTCACAATCCCCCCACTAGATCAATTACTACTAAAATTACATCCTATGTATTGGGTTTTAGATCTACTCAAATGAAATTTAAACTCTAAGGTTGACCTCCATAATTCAATTTTATCTTCAACTCCCTCTCGTCTTCCCAACAACACCATCAAGCCTTTATCCCACTACGTGGGGTCCGCACATAAATCTTTTTTCTCAATTGTATCCTATTATTAAGAGTCATATTCTCATTAAAACTTAATAAAGATATGTTATTTCTATTTTTTATGCATTTAGAATTTGATTGAATAAAGAGATTTCATTTCTAATATTTTCTAACCAAATCTTTTTAGGTCTATCTCTACCTTTCTTAGCATAAATCAAATCTAATACATCTACTCTCCTAAGAGGGTCATTAGAAGGCCATTATTTTATGTGACCAAACCATCTAAGGAGACTCTTTTCTCTATATGCTCGTTTCGTATCATGTCTCTAAGTATAAAACCACTACCCGAGCATCCTCATCTCTATAACACTTAATTTATGTTTCACTTTTAGTGGCCAACATTCTGCAATATAAAGCATTGCAGGTCTCACCACCATCTTATAGAATTTTCACTTAAGTTTGAGGGAAATTTTTCTATCACACAACATATGCATTCCTCCACTTGAACCATCCATGACACTGAATAATAATAGTATCTCCATCTATTTCAACATGACACTGAATAATAAAACTAAAATATCTTAAGTGTGTACTTGTATTAATGACTTGATCGCCCAAACTCACAATCCCCCATTAAATCTATTACTACTAAAATTACACTCCATGTATTCAGTTTTTAATCTACTCAAACGAAAATGTTTAGATTATAAAGTTGACCTCCATAATAGAAGTTTACCTTCAACTCCTCTAGTCTTATCAATAAGAAGAATAACATCAATAAAAAGCATATACCAAGGTACATGCTCTCCCAAATGTCTAATAAGAACATCTATAACTAAGCAAAAATATAAGGGCTTAAAGCAGATCCTTGATGCAATCCAACTAAAATAGGAAAATAGTTGGTCAAACCACCTTGTGTTTGAATGCAATTGACAGCTCCTGCATACATACATATCCTTAATGACTTCAATATAAACATTATTAACCCCCTTTCATTTCTAGAACTCTCCAAGAACATAATCATATGCTTTCTCAAATAAATAAATATCATATATAGATCCTCCTTATTCTCTCTATATTTCTCCATCAAGCTTCTCAATAAATGTATAACTTCCATGGTAAACTTATCCGGCATGAATCCAAACTGATTTTAAGAAATGTTAGTATCATGTCATAACCAATGCTCAATAACTTTCTCCACAATTTTAAAGTCTGACACATTAACTTAATTCCTCTATACTTTCCACACTCATGTGCATCACCATTATTCTTAAAAATAGAAATCAACACATTCCACTCATCTAGCAATTTTTGTTTTCAAAACAATATTAAAAAGTTTGGTAAGACAAAAAATCCCTTCATCTACTAAGCATTTCCATACCTCGATTGGAATATTATCAGGTCCAACAGCTTTTCAACATTTTCTTTAAAGTCTCTCTGACTTCTTTTTTTTTCTTTTTTTCTTTTTTTTTTGAGAAAATGCATTTTGCATTAAAATAAAAGAAACCTATTACAAACTATTAGGTGATAGAAAAACAAAAATAACTAAAATAAATCTTATCCTCATAATCTTCATTAAAAGATTATCAAAATATCTCATCCACCTCTATTAAATATTTTCTTCTTATAAAAGAACTTTTTGATCTTCATTCTTAATATACTTCACTTGAACTAAATCATTCTCCTATCTCTTTGTTTGACTAAGTTATACATATATCATCATCTTTAAAAGCTAAATTTTTTGTATCATATATTGCTTTCTTAGACTCTTTATAGATCACTTTATATCTTTCCTAATTTTTCAGTTTTTTACATCTTAAAAAAAAGTTTATTATAAATCTTTTTATTTTTTATCTTGTCTTGCATATTTTGACTACACCACTAACTATTTTTACTATTATTTTTTTTTCCTTTTGATACTCTAAGTACGTCATTTGCAATATTCTAAATATCAATAGCTACTTTTTCCCACATAAAATTAGCTTCCTTATATACAATTAAAAAACCTAAAATAATAAACCATACTTTCAAAAATATTTTTGTTTTTGTTTTTTAAATGTCCCCTATTTATTCCAAGGACAAAAGTTAAAGAGGCAACAAGAAACAAAAATATCAATCATGAAATGGAGTAGTAAATCATTTCTCAATAACTAAAAAATTTGAAAATCACAAAATATTCTTATTCCCTATTTATAATTCATAAAGTGAGAGGTAAAACAAAACAACAGACTAAATGATGTTCAACTTCTATGAATATTAATATCACATTAGACCGACAAAGACTTCAAAATTCCTTAAAAAATAGAATTGACAATGAATTGGACTAGCTAGTTCAACTGGTTCAACAATGAACATATCCTTTGGCCAATTTAGTCTAATCTAAAAAGTGTTTCTGCGTAGAAACAATCAGAACCGGCAGTTAAACTTGAGAACCGATGAACTAGTCTATTTTTTTTAGAATCGACGATTCTAATATTGATCAATTTATAGTATTATTATCTAGATCAAACAGCTATAATAAAAAATTTAAATATTCTAATAAATTTGACCCCTCTCCAATTTATATTTTCCAAAATTTTGTAGTTGAATATTATTGTAATTTGAAATTATATATCTTATAAATAATCAAAATATCATATCTTAATTTTTATTTAAAAATATATTTGAAATATTTAATGTTGAAATATCCAAATTTAGATTAGTATATATTGAATTTATGAAAATAATACTATTGCATCATTATCCACTTTCCATATCTTTCCAGTACAACCTCAATTGACCCTTTAAGGGGTTGTTCGGTTGGAAGTAAAATGAGTGTAAAGTAAAATAAATGCAGGGGTTTTGAAAATTTTGGCGTTTGGTTAGATGAAAAACAAATGTAAGGTAAAGTAAAGTGAATGCAGTGTATTCCATTCTAGTTTATTTTTTAGGTAAATTTTTCTCGCATAGTTTTGAGTGAGTACCGTTTACACTGCTCCAAAGCTTTCTTGACCACCGCCAACGACCACTATCTCGACCGCCACCTGCCACCATCCACCTCCGACCACCACCCCGTAGCCACTGCCAAAAGTTGCTATTTGCCAGCAACTGCCACCCACCATCACTGCCGCCGACCACCGCTCATCGCTGCCACCCACCCCTTGGCAAACCACCATGTCCGCTGCTAGATGCAACCATCACTATCGCCCGCTGCCACCACCACCATCGCCCTCCAATGCCAGTAGCAGGCCAACGCCAATCACCCCGGACACAACCTTTTTGCATGTTACATTGCATTCACTTTACTTTAAACAAAACAAAAATAAATAAAGTCATGCATTCCTTTTAGAGTCATCCAAACAACTCCAAAGCATTCATTTTACACCGCATTTCTTTTACACTACAATCATTTTTCAGGCAATTAAACAACCCCTAAATCTTAAAACTCTTGATTTACAGGTTCAATATCTTCTGGTTTTGAAAACCTTGGATTTAGATTGCAGAAGATATAGAAAGTGGATATGAAAATGAAAAACCACAAATATGTTGTGGCTTCCAACTCACCAAATCCATTTTAAAATATAAGTTATATAAAAAATTTATCTATTTACAAAAAAAAAAAAACATATAAGTTTCCTTTCATAAATAAACCTTATATCATTACAAGCTGCAATTCAAAAGTAAAAATTATGAACATTATGATGAGGGTCATGTGAAAGCTAACTTTTAATTATCATTAACATAAAGAGATTCATCTACACAAGAAAATCACACGCATAAGAAATGCCTTGAAGAACACAAGTTTATAAAATAAAATAAACAGTGGATGAAGGTCAAAAGATGAAACACCAAAATTATAATAAAAGCATGATAAAAATCTTATCAAATCTATACATGACATCAAAAAACTCTAACAAACATAAAGCTAAATGGAAACCAAAATGGACGGAAAGCAAGTTTCATGTTGCATATGACAGGACAGAGAGATTATAGAAAAGGATATCAATTTTAGTTTGTAAATTTCTTACGAGTATGATAGATTCTAATAAAAGTGCTATAATCCAATATCAAGTAAAACAGCAGCATAGATATAAAGCTTCCATTTTTTTATGTTCAAAAGGGTATGCATCAAAATACAACTGGATGATCTGAATAGAACAATAAGAAAAGCTTGGCACATAAAGCAAAAACTAGGCAACTCAAAGGTGATATAAACCAAGAAATTCATTATGTGATATACCTCTTAAGAAATACTACCTTGCTCACTTGCAGTTTTGCACAGAAACTTCAAACCATTATGAGGAAAACAAAAATATTTCTGAAATCATACCACAACATTGTTGTTTAAACTTGAAGGATTTGCTGTGCCAATTATCCTATCCTCAAAATGTAAAGAAATAAACAATAGCGGATCTATGGTGAGGGCCAGAAGGCATGGGTCCCCACTAGCCCAACCGTTTAAAACTGGGCCTGTTTATACTTAATTATAAGTAAATTATTTAATAAACCTAAACCTAAACCTAATCAATTCCGCCTATGCTTCAAGTCTAAATTTCTTTTTCTACCAAGCTAGCCTGACTATGCTTTATCAACGATGCCAACTCCATT